GGCCCCAGGGCCCCCATGGAGCATGCAGGATTTCTCCTGCAGGACCCAAAGGAATAGTGAAATTTAAAGCCCAGCCCCTCCCTTTTCTGCCAGTGACCCCTGTTCCAGGAAGGATGGAAGGAGCCATCATGCAGGGAAGCAGACCCAGGCAGGGGCCATGAGAACTGGTCTGTGACAGTGCCCAGCTCAAGGATGACGTCGGCCCCAGAGTGGAACATCGTAGCTAAATTAAGCGCCCCATAGCCGATGTCCTGGCCTCAGCCCTTGCTACCTCGATAGAAATTTATTTTGGTTTCATATAACCGAGATGAAGAGAAACAAACAAGTCAAGTGCCTGAGCCTGGCTCTATGTTTAGAAGAGAGGCCAGGAAGGCACACAGACACGGGCTCAGTCCTGGGAGGGAGGAGGGGGCACAGGGAGAGGGGCTGAAGGAGGGAGCACTAGGGTCCCAAGAGAGGGAGCCCACTTTTCCCACCGAAGGGCTGCTAAAGGAGCACTATGGTGCCCTCCCCACAGCTGCTCAGGAGTGTACTAGATTAGCCTTACCCAGACATGACCACCCTCCCTGCTGGGGCAAAAGCCCACTGCAGTCTCAGTTTCCAACACAGGCCCTGGCAGCAGATAACCCCGGCCCATTCTCAGCCTCGTCGTCTGCGAGTAGGGGTGAGATAATCCCCTCGACTGCTGGGGGATTCAGCAAGATCTCAGAGCTCAAGTTGCCCCCCAGGACTGGGCAGACAACGTTCTGGGCACGTTTCTTCTTCCCACAGCCAGCTGCAGCAGAGAACTCATCTCCCACTGCTCAGGGATCAGAGGGCTAAGGCAGTCAGGGAGCCTGGGACTGAGTTATTCCAGGGGCTGCTGGTCCTTCCAGCTGGCCAAGTTACTTGGCCCCCTGTGAGGTTTATCTCATGATGCCTGAGCCACCCTGGGGAACTCAAGGACAAAATTAAACCCAAAGCGTCCTACAGGCCCCAGCTAGCTGCTGGGGACAGGTTTCCCAAACACACAAATATGTTCCAGACAGAGCTGGGAGCCCTCCATTGCTCACCAGCTGGAGGGAAGGACCCAAGCAAGAGCAAAATGTGAAGCTCCTTCCCCTGGGACTAGGTGGGCTGCGTGGGACCCTACTGGGCCTGCTGGACACAGCAGCTCCTGCCACCACTGCTTAGCAACATGGGGAGCATCCTCCGACACTCCTGTATAACTCAGCAGCAGGGAGGGCAGGAAGGCAGAGATCTAGCCAGCCACCATGCAACTGTCACTCATTTGGCACCTCTGCAAGGAGAGCCAACCATAGGGCAGCTGCTGTGGGTTTTAGATTCCATCCCCAACCTTGCACCCCAGGGAGCCTAAGGGGCCAGAGATGCAGCCCCCACCATGGGATATCAGACAGACACGACCTTCTGTGAAAGGCTCTGGGCTTGCTGGGCGGCGGATGCTGGGTCATGGGTGTGAAGTTGGACTTGCGGCCTAGGAAAAGGCCAGAGATTTTGATGTCCCATGAGGGAGACGGTGTCGTCGCGAAGTCACAGGACCTCTGAGGACCTTTTAGAACCCACGTGATGAACCCCAGGCTTGTAGCTCCATTCCACAAGGAACCATGCCCTTGTTGTGAGAAAGGAAAACTGGAAAAGTGGAGCAGTACCCAGCCCTGCTAGGAGCCTCAGCTCCAATCCTCTCCTGGGTATCTCTAACACTCCTAGGTAATCCCATTGTGCCTTAGACTCGGAGGCCAGAATGGAGCAAAGGGGCAGGACCCTGACCGCACAGCAAGGCCAACAGGTGGCTTAGACTTCTGCATCTGGGAACTTGGAAGCTGCCCTCTCTGGCAACCCAGAAGCCTTTGGGGGTGTCCATGTGGTGGATGACATGGGCTCCCTAAAGTCCAGACAATCTGAGTGTCAGTGTTACGGTACAATGTTTCCCACACAGTCAGTCCATCTTGGGGCCATTCCCAGCATAGAATCACTTGTTAGGTGATGGCTGTTGGTGTCCCGGTAGAGTCCAGTGCCTCAGAACCGCAACCCTGAAGCTATCTGCCAGATACAGTTCTTGCTAGCTGTGTGATCTTGAACAACTCTCTGAGCCTTGGTTTCCTAATTTACAAAAGGGGGGGGAATGATAGCGCATACAGCTTATAGAAAGATTGCAAGATTTAAAATGTATTCTATACATTTTACGTATTCTACATATGTATATATGGTATATATATATGCACGTAGTATGCACATATATTATGTACACATGATTATTGCACTTGTATAATATATGAATATACATGTTTACCCTTTAGGATAAAGACAAGTGCTGAGTGCTTGCACTCGCTAAGCCCTGTGACAGTTGCATAACTGGGCGGCTCATGGAAAGTCTTGTAAACCAGCTCTGAAGGTCACCAATGGTATGAGAGTATCGTGGAAGGACCACACAGCCAACCAGCTGTGATCATCATGGGGGCCTCCTCAGAGCAGGAGGGTGACCCAAATAGGTCTTAGCCTCGCTGGGCTCAGGCCCCATTAGACACACGCCCATGAATGCTGAGCAAGCCTGGTCGACATACCTCAAGCATGGGGTTTTCATTCTTCAGGAGAAAACAAAACACTAGCCAGCCAGAGCCTTTATCTTCTCTCTCTCTCTCTCTCTCTCTCTCTCTCTCTCTCTCTCTCTCTCTCTCTCTCTCTCTCTCTCTCTCTCTCTCTCTCTCTCTCTCTCTCTCTCTCTCTCTCTCTCTCTCTCTCTCTCTCTCTCTCTCTCTCTCTCCTCTCTCTCTCTCTCTCTCTCTCTCTCTCTCTCTCTCCCTCAGTTTTTCGAGACAGGGTTTCTTTGTATTGTTTTGGAGCGTGTCCTGGAACTCACTCTGTAGACCAGGCTGGTCTCGAACTCACAGAGATCCACCTGCCTCTGCCTCCCGAGTGCTGGGATTAAAGGTGTGGGCCACCAATGCCCGGCTAAATCCTTTGTTTTCTAAAAATACCAGCTCTTCATCTCTTTCCTGGTGCAGGTGTGTGGGGGTGGAGGGCATGCTTGGGTGGTCACCCTCTTGCCTGTGTAGGATATGCAAACTTACAGTAACATAGTATGTAGGGCACCTGACACATCGGGAAGTCCTCCAGCCTAATCAGGTGCCTGGCTTAGCCCTTTTGGAAATTCTGTGTGACTCTCCTCAGACCTTCCCCCACTGGGAGTGAGAGAAGGTCTACACTAAGCTTTTCAGGATGTAAACTACGGGGTCATGTGGAGTACACTTATTGACGAATTCTCCAGAGGCTGACGCAGGAAGATCATGAATTCAAATTCAGCCTGGGCTATACCTTTCTGGACTAGACAAATGGCTGGATGGTAGAGGGCTTGCCCACTACCCTCAATCCTCAGTGCCACAGAACAAAACCAGAAGTGGGCCTGAACTCAGGGCTGAGAACAGCTGAGCAGCCATCTGCTGCTGTGCCCGTGTCCACAGCCATCGCCATTCTAACGATAACAGTTAGCAATGGAATCAAGACTCTCTGACCATCTGCAATATTACTTTTCACTGGCATGGCAGATCATTGCTCCTCGTTCCACGACTATCAGTGAGCGAGGCTCAGTTGGCATTGTATGTGCCCTATACCCCTACATCCTGGCACTCTTTCCCACTTGTGCATACATGGTCTAGAGCATGACCCCATTAAAGGTCGATCATCTCTGGTTGGAAAGGGGCGCTGCTTCCCCCGTCCCCAGGGCAGAGGTGATCCGTGCACTTGAACGCCTAGGCTCAGGTAGCACAGAGGCTCCGCCTCCCTGACTATTTCCAGCTCAACCAGCTAATGGCAGAGGCGGGATGCTACAAGTGTCTTTCTGTTTCTCTCCTCCTTCCCACCCTTCCCCTTGCACTCTCTGATGCCACAGAGGCCAACCCTCCCTCCAAACTGCACTGTCATAGTTCCTGGCCTGGCCCTGCAGAGTGTGTGACCAGGCACACAAGTCCTGGCATGATGGCAGCTGGGGCATACTTGAGAGGGTGGCTGTCCTGATATACATGCCAGGCAGGCTCCAAGGACCAGAGCTGACTCTGAGTTGGTGCAGCGTCTGTTCTGGGACCTTCCTGGCTGGCCAGTTGGCTACTTGTTCTATGTCCTGCCCTCAGGTCCCTGACCCTATATTTGGTGTCACTCCTGCCCCAACAGGATTAACTATCTGTTGTGTCACATGCCCCAGTGTCCAGTGGCCTGGTTTCTGACCTAGGTATCTGCCGGGCACAGGGACTACTGTGTCTGGAAGCCAAGGCTGCTCCCAGAAGCAGATCCCAGCTGATTGCAAGGGCCTCGGGGACCTTGGGGGTCAATGTAATGGCTTCCCTGAGTCTCCACCCTTGCCTGCCCCTTATTGCCCATGGGCCCAATGAGGACATCCAGGGCAGTGACCACTTGAGGCTAGCACCCATGAATGTAGCTATTATTATTTTTATCCTCAAAGCATGAGTCAAATGTCACCAGCCCTACTGGGAGCCAGCACCAGTGTCAGCTGCTGGGATGTGGTTCCTACCCAGTCCTGCAGAGAGCAGAGGCAAACGGAAGGAGGGATTCAGACAAAGAGGCAGAAGGAGGGGAGGAGATGGTTCAGCCTTAAGGGTGAAAGAGGGCAAGAGGAAAAGGGATGATGGGAGAGAAGATGGAGAGGAGGGTTATGGAAGGACCCGGGAAAGGATGGAAGGGAAGGGAACCGCATGCTTTCTCACAGGCTGTCTTAATCTCGGCAGATAATTCTTGGCGCAAGTGGGTCATTCCAGTTTGTGGGCTACAGGCTGGTCCCATTGCTGCACCATGGCGTTTCTGGCTTCCTCTTGGGGCTGGGTGAACCAGAAGGCAGGGAGAAGGGAGGCAAATGTAAAGCTGCGAAGTCTGGGCCATGTGAGCCCTGCAGCCACGCCCAGATGGCAGCCGCGCCCAGACGGCAGCCACGCCCAGACGGCAGCCACGCCCAGACGGCAGCCACGCCCAGACTTTGGGCTGCACTCCAGGGAGTGTGTTGAGAACACTGGGTCGGTCTCTGCAATCACACCGGGCTTGGGAGGCAAAGAGAAAACTCTTCTTTACTTTCTGCTGCCTAGTACTTTCTGCTTGCTGGGACCTGTTAGATAAGGTTTGGGGACTAGTGAGGTAGGGACCCTTTGTGTGGAGGCAACAGTTAGAGCGCAGGCTTGCTGGGATGCTAGAAATCTCAGGAGAAAATTTCATGGCAGAAGAACCAGAAAACTAGCTCAGCTTCAGGTGACTCAAGCAAGACCTTGGAGGAAATGGAGGGCCTCTGGCATCTGGCATCATCTACGGGCCTTGACTCTGGGCCTCTACGGGCAGACACACTGGTGGATCTCGGGGGTATATGCAGTATCTGAGACTTGTCAGCACTCACTGTCTGCACCCGGCCTGGCAGGTCAGTCCTCTGTAAGTATCAGGGGACAGAACCCAAGGAGGATTAGGCAAACCAGTTTACTCTTCTAGGCCGTGCTGATTCCCAGGAGCTACCAGGCCCCGACTCCGCCTCTCCTAATGCTGCCCAGGGCATTTCCAGGCTTCCTGCTCACTGGATTCAACCAACAGAGGGTACTGGTAAGGGTGATGAGGCCAGGCCGGTCTGTTTCTCTCTAGTTCCTCTTCCGCTTGGAGTTGTGTCCGTGCATGGGTCTATTGTGGCTGTGACGGTAGACCAGTCTATCCTGGCTGCATCTCCAGTTGGGCAGAAAGATTCCCAGTAGGCTCTCCCTCTACCACTCTCATCCTGGGGTGACACCACCCTGCCTCAGGATGCTTCTGACCCTGCTCATCACCTGTCTTTCCAGGAACTCCTCAACTGTTGCTTATGTTACTAAATCTTGAAGGAGGACCATCGCAAAAGGTATGGAATGCCTAGGTAAGTTTTACTTCCAGGTAAACACTATTTGTTGCATAAATATATCCCTGAAGTTGCATAGGCTATGCTTAAGCCAAACAATTACCTACTATGTACCTGAAACCCCCACCTATTTTCAGAGCCCCTGACTGATGTACAAGGATCTCAATCTCTTAAGTCACAGGAAACTGCTGTGACCTTGATTACAGAATAGGTGGGTCCAGAAGCCCAGGTCTCTACAACATAGGGAGGGTTTGGGTGGCTGAATAAAAATGAGGATATGGGCTCTCCTGGGTGTGGCTGAGGAGAAGGTTTTTATTGTAGATGTGAGGGAGAGTACAGCCAGAGGCATCTGGAAAGGTCCAGAATAAATGGGGCCAAGAGAGAAGTCAGATGGGAAGAGTGAGAGAGGAAGAGAAGCACGAGAGAAGAGAAAGAGAGAGCAAGCAGACCCAGAGAGGAGCCCAGGGCCAAGAATAACACCAGGAGAGCGCATGGCTGCAATGGCTGGGCTATATAGGAGTCAGAAGCTGGGGGAGGGAAGCCCAACCCATGGGCTGGAGAGGTTTAAGGTGGGGGTGGAGTGAGGTGTGCCAGGAGGGGCCAGAGGTACCGAGTGAGCCTTGTCCTGGGCTTCTTTGGGACCCGACAGTGGCTTATTTCTAAGGGTAAGGCAGTGGAAGGCTTTCCTGGCGACGGGAACTATGGCCTAATGGTGGGGGTGGCCAATAAGGAGACAGGGGAGTAAGGAACTGCTCAGAATATCTCCCCAGTAGCCTAGTTTAGCTCCCAAAATGGCCTGGGATCGTAGGGACAGGCCCAGAGGCAGGTTCTAATTATTGGCAGTGGCATGGCACACTAGGAACCTGGAGGGCTGAACTGGGAAGACCCAGAGCCCTTCTGTGGACAGTAAACTGACTTTGGAGTCACCTCCTGGTCACGTGACTCTGGGCCTGTTTTTACCTGTGCAGTGCTCATCCTGCTGAGGACACTCAGAAAGTGAGAGGTAGAACCACCAAGTTCAGGCCTTCTGAACTCATCAAGAGCAGTTGCTGGGACAAAGGAACTAACTCCAGGACATCGTGGTGCAAGTGCATTCCCACACACGGCCATCTTTGACTGGCCAATGGCCCTCCTTCCGGACGCTCAGAGCCCAGGCTGCTCCTGTGAACGCCTCTGCCATCTGCCTGATGTGGGCACCCTGCACTGTGATATAGACGTCTGTTAAGCTTCGAGGGACAGTGAGAAATGTCTTCTCCATTCTTGCCTCTTCCAGCCCCTTTTTCTTTGGGGCCACCAACCAAATCATGATACAGAGACTTAATAGTTTCGAATGCTCAGCCTAGCTTTGGCTAGTTTCTGGATAGCTCCTTTAACTTAAATTACCCTGTTTGTCTACCTTTCACCTGGGGCTTTTTACTTTTCTTTCCTTCTGTACAGCCTACTTTTGCTGTCTGTCTGGCAGCTGCCTGGCTTCTTTCTCTCATCGTTCTCTTCTTTCTTTTTCCCTTCTCTTGTTCTTCTCTCCAGCCTAGATTTCTCCTCTTATTTATTCTATTTATTCTCTCTACCCAGCAGGCCCACCTATCCTGCCTCTGCCTAACCAATCAGGTGCCTTAGGAAGGCAAGGTGAAGCAAATGCAACATATCTTTGCATAATTAAACACACATCCTTACATTGTTAAACAAATGCAACATAAATGAATGTAACACACCTTTTTACATTCCGTGGCATATTCCACAGCATAAACAAATGTAACGCATCTTTGCCTAGTTAAAATAATATTCCATGGCACCTCAAGTCACACAGGCCACTTCCGATAGGATGGAAATGGCTCTCTAGTTCTGTTTGCAGGAAGAAGGACAACTTGGTGAGTTGGAAAGTTAGAGGGGGCAGGCATCAAGGGTTAGGCTCATTTTTTCTAATAGCTTACTTTCAAAAAACTAATCAGGGTCAAGGGGAGGAGACAAGGACAGGGCATCTTATGTCTGCTATGCTAACTAGTATTACAGAAGACACTCAAGCTCCTCTGCAAATTGGCACATAAAGGTACGTGGCAAGGATCAACTCCCAACATGTGGTCCGAGTTCATCACCTGGGCCTTGGTCTCATGGCTCCTTTGGGTCCCTGGGATCTGGGTGCAGGTCTGCAGTTTGACCCAGACCATATGGAGAGTGGGGGTAAGTTGTGGGCAGTGCCTGTAAACTGCCTACTGTGTGCAGAGACCAGCTCTGTCCTCAGCCAGTCAGAGGTCTATCAGCTGTTTCAGCAGACTCCAGGAAGTCAAATGGACTGTTCTCCAAAGAGTCAGCCATCCCCTAACCTTGGCTGGGGCCCAGCACCATGCTTCCAGGTCAGGGACACAAGAAACTTCACACCTACAATAGGAAGCACAGGTTGGCCAGGAACTGTGAGCTAACTGGTGATGCATGGTGTACCATCCGGGACAAAGTACACCAATCAAGGGTATCAGTATCAGGGGCCCAAAGCCTCTCCCTAGGATGAATTCTGTTCAAGGAATGGAGAGCCTAAGCATACAGCTTCCAGGGCCTTACATGCTCAGCTGGACATGTGGGTGGTCCTCCTGTCCCCCACCTCTCCTGGGAAGCCTCAGGATTTTAGCCAGCTCTGAATATCTCCTGGCACTGGGGTATTTGGAATTGAGACAGATTAGATGTCAGCCTTGAAACCTACCTTGGCCTTACTTCTTATGCAACTACTGGGTCCCTGGAGATCCGAAGTTCTAGCCCTTGAATTCTTAGTGTGTCTCACGGGACTCTTCATAAACCAGCTCCAGTGTGCTGCAGGCCCAAAGTCTGGGAGGGCTTGACGCTGCCCACTTCTCAGGGCCCGGTAAGTCCAAGGTCACAGCTGGAGGTCCTACCTAAAGGCTCTAGGAAGACAGTGTCCAAAATTCCCTAGCATGGTGACAGAGCTCTGGTCCTTTGTCCTGCCCACCATAGGCAGGGACTCCTCTCAGTGGCTGTCCTGGTCTTTGCCACCACCTCTGCTGTCTCAGCACTGAGAACTCCATTTCCATCCCCATGGACTCCTCTCAGTCTCTCAGGCTGGATCTTGGAAGCCAGCCAAGAAAAGGGGCTCTGTTGTTGAAGGACCCAGTGTGCTCAGGGAAACCCAGAGGGACTTCAGATCGATGGTCTGTGACCTTTGTCACGCTCGAGGAACCCTGGCCCTGTGGGAAGCACACGGAGGGAGCCACAGTCTCAGGACTTTGGGAACAATGACAGGAACGGGTCTCCTTTCTTGTCTCTCCTGCTCCTTGGTTTCTAGAGAACCCTGCTCCCCCTCCTTCCTCACCACTGCACCGCAGGAGGGGGAGAGACCACCTCGCTGTCTCTCCCCACAATTAGGATTTTAGGATGCTGGGAGTCCTAAAAGTGATAATAAAAAGGAGGCCTGGGTCTGGGCCACCCAGGGAGCTGGTAAAAAGCCACCCAGATTGGGATGTTCATTCCAGCTCCAAACAGCATATTTTCCAGGGCCAGGGAACTTCTTTGCAGCTCAGAGGAAAGGATGGTGTCCCTGGGCTGGGTATCCTCCGGGGTTCTGGGGAAGCGTGCAGACGCCCTCTTGTGGACTCTTTGGTGTCTGTTTTAATGGAAAGGGTAAAACTAGGGGAGTTCATCCAAACAGCACTGGCTTTTCCCCAGCATGACTGAAAAGCAGTCTAGACAGGGCCCCACCTGTCCTTTAAGCATTCCGTGGTGTCACCAACCACAGTAGGTGTGTGCCTGTAGCAGCAGCTTCATTTCTTCATGAACCTCCTAGTCTCAGATGTGTTTTAATCCCACTGGGCAGGATAAAGTGACCAATGTTAGGGTGTGTATATATGGGCCACTCTAATCTCCATAACAGCAATGTAAGGAAGGTAGACCAGTACTCCTAACCTATGATCCAGCTATACATGATCCATCAGTGCTCAAAGGTGTTAAATGGAAATCCTTAAAAGTACACAATTCACACAGTTTACATGCACATCCTTCTGGGTGATGAAACTTCTATTCAGCCCCAGATTCAAATCCTCCCTTTGTTCAATTCATCTATGTGGGATGCCTTACCCACCCGGCAGTCTTAGATGGCTTCTCTCATCAGCCTGACTGCTGTGGTACTACTGCCCACAGGGCTGTGTTTAGTGACCCAAAGCAAAGAGTAGCGACGCAGGCAGTTTTATTACGTTTTGTTAAACCACAGGGTGGACCCATGGCCATCAGTCAATTGTATATGTTCTCTTAGTTTTGAAAACGAAGAACATGCCGGGCACAGGTTAGGAGCACATTTTGGTCAGTCCCCCTTAGTTTCTGCTGCCTGCTTATTGGGTCCTGCCCGACCCCCATGGTCTCTTAGCTGGTTTGTTATCTTAATGGCTTCTCTGCCTTCATTAGCACCGCCCACCCCATCTCTCTGTTCCTACAGCAGTCTGGTCCCTTTCTGTTGCTGTTGATGCCCTCAGCTCCTGCCACCAGCTTCTCCAGCCCAAGTCACCCACCCACCACTGACCTTCCCTTTCATGTTCTGCCCAAGGCTCTCACGAGCCATGCAGGCTCTCCCATGCCTCTGAGGTTTTGTCTTGCTGTTCCTGTTGCCAGAATGCCCTTCTTGTCCAGTCTTGCTCGTTCCTGACCTCTAGAGAGAACCTAAGGTCCTGCAATGACCCACACCACTCCACACACCCCACCCCACAGGCAAGCACTAACCCATCTCAGGGCAGCCCTATCCCTTAAGGGGTCTCGGTCTCCCCTGACCCCCCCTGCATGTAGATACGCTTTCCTCTTTCCTCTCTCAACACAGGGCCAGAACAGACTCTTCCCCACCATGTCGAGTTTAGGGGCTCCAGAACCATGGGAACAGTTCCCATCCTCCACATCTACTTGGGGGTCACCTGGGCTGGCAGGGCTGATGAACGGTGTTGAGGTAGTGAAGCAAGAGAGATGGGTGTGGCCTCAGAATCACAGGGAACCCAAACACTCAGTGCGGTGCCTCCACCATCAGTCTCAATCCCTGCTTCTGGTCCTCCATCTTTTCTCTCCTGGTCAGATCCAAGCTCTTGCCGACCCTTTACCTGCCTTCTCCTCAGAGGCTGTGAATGGAGGCCTGCCTGGGGTAGCATGAACTAGGATGGCACCAGGTCCAGGTCCTTGCAGTTATATAGCTCCACAGTATGTCCCGATCCCTCCGGTTGCCCCCTCCCTGTACTGGACTACCCTGCACCCTGAGTCTGGAGTCAGGGTGCCTCTGGGAAATGACCAAACCAAAGCCACTGAAACCCTGGTGTGAGGAGTAGAAGAGAGAGCACAGACCCGAGGATTTGGGACCTCACTTCAGGTGAGCATAAGAACCACCCTCCCATGACTGCGGGATACTCAGCGCCCTGGCCTCCCTTCTCCCTCTCTCCCGGCATCTGAACCACGGGATGGGTGAGGAAGGCTAAAAGACCATCGGTAATCCAGCTTCCACTGCTGGGTACCCTCCGTGGTGACGTAGGAAGCCAGGAATGGATGTGCATCTGTGCCTGTAAGCCCGGCACTGTAGAGTGGAGATGGGAGGGTTGGCACATCCAGCATTGTGATGTCACTCCCAGAGCTGTGGGAGTCCCCTGGGCCACGTTCTCCTGGTGCTCATGAATCCATCGGATGCTTGGTACTGGAGGAGTAGAGCAGCTCACCTTCACTTTTCCTTTCTGCTGACCCCGTTGCTGGCCCAATAGATGGCCAAGACAGGTCACACTGTGTAGTGGAGTCACAGCACAGAGCCTCTGGCCAAAGCACCGTTAGCAAGACTGTACGGAAACTGTAATGCACTGTCTTCCAGGCTTAACCATGAGCTGGCTCCAGGTAGCCTTGTTCTCTCTCCCAGGTTCCCTAGGCTCCCTGTGAGCTCAGAGCAATGGATGAGCAATGGGTGGGGGGAGGGTCAAGCACAGAGACAATGGAGCCTGGCTGCTGTCTGAACCAGTTTGCTCTCACCCTGGGAATCTTCTGGATGTTTTTAGAAGCTGATACCTGTTAGAAGTCCCCTGGGTATCTTGGTGCCATACATTTGGGAATTGGTGGGGCCATACCAGTTATAGGGCATGGAGAACAGTAATGACAACACAGAGTGGCACCCCCAGCCATTCCTGGGCTGGGGGCACCTCAGAGGTCCTGGACTTAGAAGCAGTGAGCCCCAAGTCCAGATCAAGCCCTACTGTGTGACTTTGGGCTGGTCACTGCCCATCTCTGAGCTTGTTTCCCTTCCTGTGAAGGGGACATGCTAGCCCAGGCTTCCAAGGACCATGAGGAGAACCTAGGGAGGAAGCGGTCACCATCGTTGCTCTGAGTAGGTCTATCTAGACTCTGCTTGACTCCTACTTTGCCTGGAGTGGTGAGGCACACTGCTGATGGCCATATGTGTAGGGAGCTGGCCTGAGCAATCCTGAAAATGAGGATGTGATCCC